CAAAGTTGATCGATTTTTCTTCATATAAGGTATGGGGAAAGATAATGAGAGTTTCTCTGCTTCATTTTCCAGTGAATCGGCTGCATTTAGTGAACTGGGCTCCCTTTCCAACTGTGGAATATTTTCCCAACTAACACCTTCCTTGTCTGTGCTAGAATAAGACAAATCAGGGTTAACCACCCCAAGGCATTAGGAGAAGTGGGTCTCCCACTGAAGCGTAAAATCCTGATAGAAAAGATATGAGTCAGCCTGAGCTGGATTTATTTCTGTCTCCATATGCCAGTCGTGCCTTTTCTTCCATAATTCCCAGCTTAAAAAATGGTGCTGTAGTACAATTTACTGTGTCCTCAATTTCTCATCAGATGATTAAAGAATAAAATCATGGGCTATTGCAAGAGCAAGATGGGGAGGAGGAGGAGGAGTGGAATCAGCTTTGGAAAACAAGAGATGCGGAGCATAAGCATCCAGTTCCTACTTTGGTTTTATACTGAAATTCTGTTTTTCTGTGTGCATATGTATGCGGGTGAGAATAATTCAACATCTGGGAGAATCACAGGTTCCCCATCCTTGCTTCAAGGAGCAACTGATGCAAAAATCAAGCCTCTTTTACCATCATCACCATATGGCCCCTTTCTGTGCAGTTAGCTCCCTGCACTGAATTTGAAAGTGTTTAAAAGGTTTATTTAGTTTATATTCCACTTTTTTCCTGGCACAGAATGTAAGGCAGCTTTTGTGCCTTACTAGACTAGCTGAAAGTTACTGTGATGTCCAAACTTGTAGTTAGCCTTCTTGTATAATTGGTGGAATTAAATCAGTTTCAAACTGTAGTTTTTGAAGCTGGCGTAGTTTATGGTTTACAATGCTGAAGTTATTGGAATAAGCTGAAACAGAAGCTTCTAATTTCCTAACATGTATGCTGGTGAGGGAGGCATGTCTGGGAAGGAATGTGCATCTGAGGCAGGGGTCGGCAACCTACGGCCCGGGGGCCAGATCCGGCCCAGGGAGGCCTTGTTATCGGCCTCGTTTTGGTCCTGCCGCGTCGGCGGCGGTTTTTTTTTGCTGGGCTTCTCCGGCCGCCATTTTGGCTGCCGGGTTGCTCTTGGCATGCTCCGCCCCCTGCGCTGAGCGCCCTCCCTCCCGGGAGGCAAAGCAAACTTCAGAAGAGCGCACTGG